GGATTTTTACCAAAAATTAATCAAATCTGCGCATATGTTCAGAGCATCTATGTACCAAGTTTCATCAAAATCCAATGAGTGGTTCTTTAGATATCAGTGGAACAGTCATAGAACAGCTAAAAATTAGCTAATTATCATGCAAATTAGGTAATTAACGAGCATGGATTTTTACCAAAACCTAATCAAATCTGCGCATTGGCCCAGAGCATCTATGCACCAAGTTTCATCAAAAACCGATGTATGGTTCTTGAGATAGCAGTGGAACAGTCGGACACACATACATACACACACACACACACACACACACACACACACACATACACACATACACACATACACACAGACACACTAACTGCAAAGACTCCCATTTTGTGCTTCGCACATGGGAGTCAAAAACATTGTGATATTTTGGATCGAGTAGGTTATCTAATCCGCCATATTGTTCAAACATGTCTTAATTTACCCGTGTTATAATAATTAAGACATTGCAACAGATACGTACCTGTCTATCGGGGAGAGACTGCATGCTACTTGGTCTAAGACTCTGTTTACAAAATTTTGACCCACCTCAAAAATATTGAAACAACCATTTTCAACACCCTCAAATACGCATTTTATTCGCGCTGTACATGATCTACTATATAATTAGAGATAAGTCCCGTGAGTATACCTGTATAAGATACTGTCCTGGAAGAAGTATTCGGAAGTACTCTCCATCCACAGTCGTATTGAAATAATTCGGCCTGTCGTCCACTGTGATTCGTGCGTAGGGTATCACGTGACCATTTTGATCAACCACCATACCTTTGATGCCTACAAAATTGATTATATCTAGAGATTTACCATTGGAAATTCTTGAGGGAAGCTGGTGGTAACTGTGCAAATTATTTGTTTTCCCTCGCCTGGGATATTGAGCACATGCGCAGCTGTAGCTAACAACATGGCCGTCAGCAGCCAGACGACAGTGTTGCGGTGAGTAAGTTTATTATTTATGAATTATTTAATAATATGTTGGAATGCATGTGATTGTTATTTGTTGCAAACCGTAGCAGCAAAAAAGTACCGACATCTGTACTGATAGAACTTCACATTAGTGTGTATATTTATGGAGTTGCAATTTGGAAGTAAGAAGCTAGAAGTCAGAACTCGGAAGTAGGAACTATGAATTTGGAACTAGGATTTCCCATCTCAGCTTTCGTAAATAAAAATAGTTTTCCAGTAATTACACATGTAGGGTTGTGTTTTTCAAACTTCCCTCAATGGTCAACCCCTACCGTAATAGGTAAAATGTATGCTCAATATTCTTTGAAATATAGCAACGAAGCGATAACCTAAGATACATACAGTAACGTTTGAGACTGACCTCTATGAACCTGTTTTATATATTCCAACATGGCGTCTTTGTTTTCATTCCAGTAACCTTCAATTTCGTTTTCCGGTGGATATTTACAGCAGCTGACTTCGATGGTAATTTGTATACAACTATGATAGACGTAGGTGTAGTCCTGAATTACACCTGTGAATAAATAAGGAACAATAATAAGCGAAAGTACAGTTGAAGATCCGTGAATTTGTTAAAAAAATGAGTACAGTGTAGTTTATAAACTTGTCATGAAAACCGGCAGTATTGCTGACCAGTTTCGAGATTTTCGCTTCATAGCAGCGTTTTATCTAAAATGTCTGTTGTTTTGAATAAGGCTTTGACAAAAATGGCTGCCAAGATCTCGCGAACAACGGAACATATGTTTGCCTCTCGAATAGTATTGTATTCCTTCTCACCTTCGCGTTCACTGTTACCCAGACTTACGTAACCATAGTGATTTTTGATTCACGGGTAAAATAAAACAAAAACCCTAACGTTTATTGAACATTTAACTAAAAAAACAACCCTTAGAACCCCGTCGGCAGGTCAGTCACACTGGTTCTCACTGCAAGAGGTTACGACCACCCTGCCACAAATTCTTAGGCAAATAAAAAACTAAATACAAACACGTAACGTATTGTGTAATAACAAACAAACAAACAAACAACGACATTGGATGAGATGTATTGAAGTAGACACAGACATAAAACAACAAGATTGAACGGTTACCAAATGACAAGTTGGATAACAAAAGTGTAAACACGACCTCTGAACTATAACAGTCACGGTTTGCAGTCAAGTTCACAAATGGATTTGTAATTTTCCGTTTTCAAGAGAACAGAGAGCGTCATTTGTGGTCCAAATGTGTTCGAACCTGTCCTCATGTTTCACTAGTTTGAAGTACTGATACTCGGATTTAATTCTACTGGTGATGCGAGTTTGGAGAATTGTAAACGGATCCACAAAAGTGATAAGGATAAAAGAAAAATACTCTCACACTGACGAGAAAGAACACGACGTGAGTGTTGAGGTGGAAAAATAACGAACCGCCAAGAAGGAACCGTCAAACCAGATTGTAAAAACTCAGTGGAAATGCGCGAAATGGAGCGACAGAGAGCGCCAATCGCCGGACATTCGATAAAAATGTGAATGAGAGAATCCAGTTTTCAGAATCGGCAAAATTTGCCTCGGCAAGAAAACCAGCAGTAGTGCATGCACTATGCATTACACGCCATTGCAAATCTCTCTCACGTTTTGTGATGGGGGCAGTATAACACCCTTTGAAATTGAGTAACCATAGTAATCAGAATTTTAGAAGCGATATCTGAAAAATGAAACAATATTCGATGGGAAAAAAACAAGTCTCGGGCTCTTTCACTCTCAACGAGATCTCGGCGGCCATTTTTTGTCTAAGATCTATTAATTGATTAAATAAATGTGTTGGATTAGTGACAGCCAATCAAACGATAACGTAGTTGACTATTGGAAATAGTTTAACGCGGGGGAGTCGTCACCTGCGCATGCGTCAGATGGCCATAGCGTGTCATTGTTTACAAACAAGCGTCTACCATAAGCCCTTGCGGTTTTAGCGTGTGCTGTTATCGTCGGTTGGGACTCAATTCCCGCGCGTGCGCAGGTGACGACCCTCCCGCTTTAAAAGTCACGGTTTGTGCCAGTTGCAGAATTTTGATCATAAATCTATGGAGTACTAGAAACGTGTTTCATTTTGTTTTTATTTTCGGAGGTTATGGTTCAACCGCTCTGAATAATCGTTGGAGAGAAAAAAATCCAGGCGATTTGAAGCACGAACGAAGGTAATCGGTATAAATCGGTTGCAGGATGTCCCCGTGCAACGGAACACATTTGCATAAACAAAAAGACAGACAAAATGCGCGGAGTGATATAGACCGGTGTGTGATAATATGTATAATTATGTACAGCCCAGACGCTGGCGGTAAACACTCTAAAGACAGCGCAGTAGCATCGTGATTATAACTGTAGTTATTCAAATGTTCTGGCAAAGATATTGACAATGGTTAGTTGGCACAAAACGTAGCGACTGTGCAGCGACCCCAACATGTTAAACTCACTTTTTCTTTTCCTCAGTCAATAACATAACACGGTAAATTGAAGTTCTGAAGTAACTTCTGCCTAACGGAAACGGTATGTATTGATTTTGTTTTTTATTCAGCTTACTTACTAAATCGTATCGGTAAAAACAAAAACAAAACTTTACAATTAACGCCGCTGATGGCATGCTGATCCATGAGGACTCAGAGAACTGAGAAATTTTCTAAAAACGACTCGGACATAATTAGCGTTCGGATGAATAATTATAAATAAGTGTGAACCATCTTATCGAAAAACCCGATTTCCCCTTTCTCGAGAAGATCAACTATGATCCTAACTAATATCTCCCTTACCTCGGGATGAGTACCATGAAGCAGCGTTTGCAATCCCATCCTCGAACCCAGAAGTGAATTTCCCGTCACAGCTGTTTTCGCTCCTATTTGACATTCTTGGGTGAGTATATGAGTACAACAGTGAAATATTTCGAAATATATCGTCATCAGGAGCGGCGCTGTATTGCGAGAAATCTTCTGCTTTCTCTTCTGCAATGCAAAATTCAAGTTGGAATATAACATTTCTGAAGTATCAGAGTAAAACATCGACATTTTGATATTACAAATGTGGCTTGTAATCGGGAATTAACATACATGAACACACGGTGTAATACACCGTTCCGTGAGCTAACTACTAGTATTTGACATACATAGTCGCTATGTGGAAATTTTAAAACAAACGAGAGAGGTGTGTCCCTTGTCTTTTTTAGTTTTTTGTTTTGTTATAGCCATATTTAACCTTGTAGAATACATTGGATGACGATTGTTCTGTAGCACACAGCATCAGCTGTTATCCTGCATCCGCCCCAACTGCCTCCGTCTGTTTTCTCCGCTTCGCTTCTATTTTTTTTTATTTTTCGGAGGAGGCAGGCCAGGGGTATTCTGCATTGATTTGATTTGTTCTAAGTAAAGAGCGCCCTCTGATGTTGCAATTTCATTTAGAAATTCATATTGTCATTGCCAGAACTAAATCAAGATTAGAAAACAATTACCAGAATGCTTTGCGTGTGAAATGTGACATACGTACAAACCTGGTTGTAGGTTACTGTAGGGGTATACCGCGAGGAGCGCGCCTCCGTGGAAGTTTGCAGATAAGACGAATGGAATGCGACGAGACCATGTCATATAAGCCCTGGTTTCCGGCTGGATCGGAAAGTTGTTGATTTCAACCATATCGGGAAAATTGCGATTTAAATCGAATCTGTTTTTATTGAATCTGAAAGAAATCGTATGAGTTATCAAATATATAAATGATACACGGATAGAGAATGGCACATACGACGAGTTATCCTCAGTACTGACTATGTCCCAATGTTCGCATATACATCAACTATATACACTACAAACAGCAATGTAATCTAAAATCACTGCGTTTTTATCCACCGATTTGATAGTTCAATGCCGATTCTCGCATAAATTTGCTTTAAGGTAGAAGCCTACTCATAATTTTTGATAAAATTGATTATAAACATGACAGTGTTTATTGGTCTATTGTGTAAAATCGTGAAGCTATTGTCCCATGGTACCATGAAATTGCATTTTTTGTGTGTTACAGTGACTTATTTTGAGAAACTTGCTATTTTAGAACAATTCCATAGAGCACAAATATTGCATATTTGACGTTTTTTAAATCACAGATTTTTGAAATAATTTTGGACAACAATAAGTATCCAATCATGATTTTGTTCAGCCTATGTAGCCAGGCTACAATTTGAGATATGGCATACAATCTCTGCCATAGGAACCTGTGGTAAAAGCGTTATAATACTGTCAAAATGGCCACTATACACTAAATTACAACCATCAATTTCTCGAAAATTAAGCTGGTGACCCCGAATATCATTATAATGCCTGGAAGTACAATTTATTTGAAAATGAATAAATTCTGTGTATTTACATTTACGAGTAGGCTTCTACTTTAATGCATTGCGGTTATTTTGAATTCGATTGCTTGATGCCAATGCAATTAGAGTCACTATGCGGGAAATTAAACAATTGTTAGAATACAGTATTTGTCTAAATGTCGTGTATTTAGTCACGTGGTCAGTATTCGTATTAGCCCAGACTACAATTATCATATTGTCAACCTTCTTTACCTGCCGATCCCAAGATGACATTCCCCTTCAGTCGAGATCTCAAAACCGTCAGGATTCAGCGAGGGTAATATATGCAATCGGGTGGTATCGAGAAGCTTCGTGATGTCTTCGTCCACATCGTATTTGCTCAGAAGATATGACGCGAAATGAAGCAGCAGCTCTCGGCCAATCGCCTACAAGGTGAAAGGTTGTGACATGTACATGCGTGAACTGACCTTACAATGGATTTCTAAAATTTGCAAATTTCTGAGATATTGTTTCATTCCTGACACTGTTTTCACCTATAATAAAATACTCATGTAATTGAACAAGAATCTTATTTATATGTCCTTCCGTGAAACACGAAGAGAAGAAATTAATTAGTTTAAAATGTAAAAATAGCCCAGACATGTATTACCTCATTGCCATGAATGTTTCCAATGTAATTCACCTCTGGCTTCAGGATATTATGTTTCCATGCTTCGTGGCCAGAAATGGCCAGAACCCACAATTTACGACCTGCGGAAAAAACAATATTATGATTTAAAGTACTAACAGAGACGCCATTTTGTTCATGATTTGTTTCATGGTATTCCACGTATGCATGTTCCCAGACGAAATATGCGTTTGTGTAGTGTCAGTGGAAATCTCTAAGAAAAAGGAAAAAAAATAAGTTAATTTTTGGCAGTCAGTTTGAATGAAATTATTTATTCGTACAATTCATTCATCAACTGAAGAAATATACCCCGGCTGTATGAACTAGTACTCAAAGGTCAATTGCACTCAGGCTTCCATCGGGAAATTGAACACACTCATATCCGCTTAAAGAGATCATGTGTTAATTTCATTAAAAATTATGTTATGGAAAATTAAATGTTCATTTTTTCAATCAGAAATATACTGTCGACGAAATTAAATTCTCTTCTGTTCTATTTATATGTCATAACGTATATAGATTAGAGTCGGTATTTGACCCCGGCATACTGGTAAATAACACGTAGCAGTGTGACGTCATTTGGTTACATTTTTGTGTGCAAATGTCTGATGAAATATTTAGGTTACTGTTCAACACTAGCTCATGATCTGTTTTGATCATATTGTCCATGTGTTTTTTTTCCATCTACTTGGACACATTGCAGCGAGCTGTACCATTATTTATTTCGGGTGCGAACGATTGGTTGTTAAGCAGTTCGAGTCAATAGGAAAGCATACGCGTGCAAAACGTCACGGTAAACCAACGCCATCTCATACGTTAATAATTAACAACTATCGGAATTAGAGATATTTATAAAGTCATAAATCTCTATTCCTAAGTAAATTTCATTTTAACAAAAAAAATGAATAAAATACCTATAATTTGTTTAATTTTGTTTCAAGCCTTTAGGCTGATTAGCTAAAAGGAAGTATTTTTTCGAGTGTTGTCATGGTAATAGTAGGACTGAGTAGAATATTGAATTTCCCAGGTTTTTACTCTAAGATTTGTAAGAGGAGAAACATTTGGCGTGAAGGTATTCAACACTTTTTTTTTTGCGGTTGCCATGGCAGCGGTGAACCTGGATTTTTTTCCCGATTTTCCCCCCTAACTAGAGCGAACTTAGGCGTGACCTGCCTGCCAAGTTTAAACAAAATCAGCCCAGACAAAAAAACAATCCCAGAAAAAATAATACGTGAGATAACACCGTGACACACATACACACAAACGCGGAGCGGATTGCCAATAAATAACTTTAAATCCTCACAACGTCACACTGGATTCGGAGACATGTGTAATAATAATGTGTATGCTCGTCTACACCTCATATATTATCTTGTAACAGACTCTACTCATTATCCAATATCGCGCTGTTGGAGAACAGTGTTTAAATAAACTAAAAAGCCTGATTTAAGAACCGTTTCTCTATATTTTTAGTTTCAACCCATAGTCTTAGGTTTCCATGAAATCTATGATTTCCTCACGCCCGTGTTGTTCTAAGCGGGACGGGAGAATGAATAGTACACATGCATGCATTGTATCGCTAACTGGTGGATTTAGAAATAGCTCACACAGACTGATAAATCTCCTCATCTCGAATGAACGACCATGATGGTTTAAATGCGTTCTGAACTCTGTTGTCTCTCTCACACCTTGATGTACCAAATTCATTCGTATTCATAAGCAATTTATGTGTTATGTACACAAAATTTGTATACGTAGCAGAATAATACAAAAACGTAGCTTCCCAATTTAAGTTTGTGTTTTTTAATATTTGCAAACCCTGGTGCGCCCAACAGCGGGATAAACGACACCATTTATAGCAAATACTAACAGTTATTTCTGGTTTCGATTCGCTGCTGCTGCGTATACCACACAACTAACGAACGTCGCAGAATATCCAATAATAATCTCGCGAGTGAAATCTAGGGTAACCTGAAAGTCGTGCATGTTGTGTTTAGTATTCACAGCACATCGTGTATAAGATAACGCTTTTATAGATGCCGAGATAGCATTCAATCGCCAGCAAATTAGAGCAACGCGCATTCAGTTACCAATTCGATGCATGACTGACATATTTATAACTGTATCGAGTCAAATTTAGTGAATGAATTTGGTAGCATTAAAATGAATGATTTAAAGATGAAAATGATGATACATCTGCAAGGAACTCGCCTGTTATTGACTGAGTTTGTGTTCGCCAACGTCTCGTGTTTGCGAGTGGTTCACGTCATGGGTATAATTGGATACGTACATTCATTTCAAGTTGCAGCTCTCGCGGATGAAATTGACAGGGGCAGGCCGTAATTATTTAAGCCAGGCGTTGTAACAAGCAAACGTGAACGTAATATTATAGCCATCGTGAATGACTGTAAAACGAACACAGTTACTCGAATGTGCCACGGCGAAAAAGATGGAGATAGGACTTACCTTCCACACTCCTGCCAATACTGTATAGTTCCGTCAGGTTGTAGTAGCGTAGATGAAGCGCCTGTAGCAGATCCACCATGTTGTCATAGTGATGATATACGAAATCAACTTGAAGTTCTCCGGCCGTTAAATGCAGCAGAAAGGCGATAACTAGTGGTGTGTGAAGCGCCGCCATTAGTGTTTACGCGGGAAAGCCGGGTGTATTATAAGACTTCCGATCAGTTTGAATATTATATGACGTCATTGAAATAAGGTCAAGCACGGCTGTTAAGATGGAGGGAGTGAACGGAGTTGCTTTTAGGCGATATTATGTATGTTGGAAACAACGTGAATTCTCGCGAGATTTACAAATCTCCGTTACGTATATTTCTTCAAGTACGCAGATATTTACTTCAGGCGTGTCTAGATTGTGTCCTATGTTATTTCAGTCAGTTTTGATCCCAAATTTAAATGTGTTGTTTTCAGAGTACTACGTATTACAATCAATACTTTAATTGCAATAGCAAATGGAGAATGGTGAACCAATCAGCATGTGATAAAAATATCCTGCGTGATCTGAATGTCAGGCACGTATTCATACAATTAGATTACAAACCTTTTTGCGATGGAATTTAACCACATTTAGATTACATACCCTTTAGCGATGGCATTTAACCACCATTTTCTTTTGCGCGGAATGTGTGAATCACATGCAGTAGAGCGCAGGGGATTTGATATGCATCAGTCCCTTTGAAAGGCGCTATGACAAGTCATGGTTAAATCTAAATTTGACGAGCTATGAACCAAGTTTCTAGTTTTTTGTCTTTAAAAGATGTCCTTGATTGTAAATAACGATCGACTACCCGAATTATTTTTTTGTCGAGCAATTTACACAGATAAACAGGATCCCAAGATTCTGTAACAGTACGTATTAGATGCAAGCATCGGATGGGATTCCATGCGTCTTTTCATTTGACTTGCAGCGTGGAACCTTCGCCTCAAGCATGGGTCGGTCTATGCAAAATACTGAACTCATTGTTTTGACTCTGAAAGTTATGTCAGTTCACAGTTCATACTCCAGAGACCTACCGTAAATACAGTCACGGTTGCCGTGGTGTCAAACGTGTGACAGTTAAAAATCTACGTTCATATTACTGGCAGCATAATAGCTAGCATCGTGCACACGCATATTACCGTGTTATATACTTCTTCCGTGTAGTATAGTGAAAATAGGGAAAAACATTCTTAGGCTGAACTGATCTAATAAGTTGGATTTTCAGTTACTCAGTAACAGATTGTAAAATGTCAGTTAAATCTTTCCCTGGGGAGGAAATCTTCTACTGTTGCAGCGGTTATAACGAACGATTTGATAGGACAATGCATTAAAGAAAATACTTCTAGAAAATACTTCAAAAGAGCTATATAGATTCTGCTAAACTTTGACTGGCGAAGATGAAGCATATGTTTTACGCTCTTCATTTTGTTTAGTTTTGTTATTTCATAAAACAGTCCTGCTGGAACATAATGTATTAGTTTGTAGGTGAGTTCTAAATAAGGTCGCTGAATCAATATTTTTTTTTGGAAGCGTAGAAATTTATTTCCACGAGCAACTTACTCTTCTGACATCGCCTCACTGTTCCTAATTATGACACATAATCTCGGTTGAGTCGGTTTACGAATAGTGCTTGGTTAGCTGGGTGTAACCGAAATTGTTTGAATCAACGTTGAGGGCGCGCTTTCTAGGAAACGATATTGCGGCAATGTTCTAGCATTATTCACGCATGACCGTTTATAGCATTAAGCAATCTATTGCCATAATATGAACAAAATCGAAAGACTTTCATAAAACTGGATTGAGCAAACTTAATGATTCAATTAAAACAAAATGCCAAATTAAATGTAATTACCCCTTATTAAGTTAGTCAGGTTAGGTCGAACTGACTTACTACGGGTAAAATATAACCTCGTACTACCTGCCTCATAGTCCTGTTCAGGTGTAGCCAACAAGCAATAAATTGAAATAGTCAATTCTAGACAAAAATTATTTTATGAGCCTTTTGAAGTATATGCTAATTAATATTTAAGGAAAGAGGGAAAATTAAAAGCTGTTCATAAGCTACCCTCCACCTGAAAAAAATTGTCTTCTCCTCCTGCTGACCAAATTCATCCTTCCCCTGCCCCTGCCCTCTTTAAAAAAACCCACTTTTTTGCCTACTCCCCTACCGCAAACTTGCCTTTCTTGCCCTCCCGCTGACCAAATTCATCCTTCCCCTGCCCTGATTAAAAAAAACACACTTTTTTGCCTACTCCCCTACCGCAAACTTGCCCTCCTGCTGACCAAATTCATCTTTCCCCTGCCCTCATTAAAAAAACACACTTTTTGCCTACTCCCCTACCGCAAACTTGCCTTTCTTGCCCTCCTGCTGACCAAATTAATCTTCTCCCTCCCCTCATTAAAAAAACACTTTTTTGCCTACTCCCCTACCGCAAACTTGCCTTTCTTGCCCTCCTGCTGACCAAATTAATCTTCTCCCTCCCCTCATTAAAAAAACACACTTTCTTGCCTACTCCCCTACCGCAAACTTGCCTTTCTTGCCCTCCTGCTGACCAAATTAATCTTCTCCCTCCCTTCATTAAAAAAACACTTTTTTGCCTACTCCCCTACCGCAAACTTGCCTTTCTTGCCCTCCTGATGACCAAATTAATCTTCTCCCTCCCCTCATTAAAAAAACACACTTTTTTGCCTACTCCCCTACCGCAAACTTGCCTTTCTTGCCCTCCTGCTGACCAAATTAATCTTCTCCCTCCCCTCATTAAAAAAACACTTTTTTGCCTACTCCCCTACCGCAAACTTGCCTTTCTTGCCCTCCTGCTGACCAAATTAATCTTCTCCCTCCCCTCATTAAAAAAACACTATTTTGCCTACTCCCCTCCCCGATAAAAAAAAGTCTTTGCATTTTTTTAGAAATTTGAAATTTGGGGGGGGGGTACTGATATTTCCCGCCCCTACAAAAAGTAGAAAAAATCCCATGCCCTCAACAGAAATCCCTTGAAAACAGATTTTCCCGATGAACAGCTCCATTGGCTGCACCTGCCTGTTGTCCAAGCGATTGAGCAATAGGCAACTCACCAACCCGCATTGAATCAGCGTGGTGAGATACGGTTCAACCCCACAACACTAATGTATTTGTTGTGGAGGCCACCCGCCAGCAGTGGCGTGAAAGGCTGAGATGATGATGATGATGACTTCACTTCTTGGACTACACGGATGCCATTAGTTCTTTTTCGAACAATATAAACACTTAATCAGTTGAGGTAAAGCTTATATGCAAGATAAAATTTGATACGTCGAAAAAAAAACTCAACATATAAGCTGTTCTCTGATAGGTCTGATTTTGGGACGTTAGGGTTGGGTAGCCAATTGGGCACAATTTTGTATACGGCTTTGCATTGATCTTTGCAATAACGGCGTGTAGATACATTCTAGTCATTGAATGACATCCAATATATTTCTAACTCTGTTCAAAATTTGATTCTTATTTCACAGACTGAAACTTTCGTGTTTTTCACGCACTCGATCGTTTTCATGTTCTTGTTTTCCAGCTCGATTCCACATTCCATACCCCCGTAAAATTCGAATGGACTCTCTTTGAATCAGTTACGTAAGTATCACGTGCCAATCTGAACGGTCAGTTGTCTCTGAAATCCGGGTCTAGCCGGCTCTGGCTGAATTAAGCTTCAGGTCACAGTGAGTATAGTTTGGTTTACATCATTTTTGTGCCGTAGCGTAGAATACAACAAGGCGAATGTTTCTCCATTAGTAAACTTGTTAAAAATGTGGTTACTATTTAGTCTGTTACTCGAGGAGCTGATTGTCTCCAATTTGAACGCCAGCTTGACGAAATATTAGGACGAACGACACGATTTGTTGCGTGTTCACAATGTCCTTCCATGGGTTCATCGTGTGCGCGGTAATTTTGAACGAACACGTCAATGAACATGTGAATTAAGATTACATGTAAGCAGTATCTTATACCGGGGTCTAGTTATTTTGTGGTAATTTTTATTTTTTATTTTTTACATTCCAGTTGTAATGATGCATTTTCACTCGGGTGGCTGAGGGACACGCATGTGCGATTTGAACATCACGGTGAAATTGCTATACATTTCAAAGATCGAAACGAAAAAAGCACATTTTAAAAGTAGGCTAGTACTCGTAGGCTAGTGGGACAACGAGAGTTTTTGGCAGTGGATGAAATTGTTTCGAAAGTTTCACCTAAACCAAACCCATCAAATTTCACTAATAATGGCATTGATTGCAATAATATTGAAATGAGATAGTCTTTTCTAGTACTTAAGCAATTTGCTTTTGTTCTTTTTATACTTATGACTGGCCATCTATGTTTATTAGTTGACATTTCCTTGCATGCGAACACCGGAAACGTATTTTATGGGCCTAATACACATACTGCCATGATCCGCGATTCGAACACTTCACGTACTGCTTTTAACGTGAATGAAAGTCGTCTTTCCTGGCACAATAGTATATAGCGCCACCTTTCGTTTACTCATTAACTACGATCATGTAGTCGTCGCGCCACGCACGCGCGAGATATATGGGGTTCGTATAAACAAAGATTGCTTTGACTGTTGCGCAGATCAATGAGTACAAACTGAGACGTCACCGAGCTTTAATTGGGTATTTTAGGTGATTGAAAAGTATGGAAGAAGTCGCCGGCGGATTAGTGCAAGTAGCGCCCAGGTCAAACCTCAGTCGGTGCTTGTGATTTCCATTGGAAGAGCGCATTGGATTGTGGGAAAATCAATGTTTATCAACACAAATGTCGCACATGCGCAGCCCGACGACCACCGCCCTTTAAACCGTGGTGGACCCAGTAAATTAACCAAACACTGAAAACAAGTGCGAGCGTCGTTGCGCAATGAATCCTGATAAAAGGGACGAGTTACGATAACTTCATGGGCTGATTATAAATTCGCATCAGGTTCATGGATGATACCATAGTAAGTAACTGTGATGACGCTAGCCGATGACGTCACACGTGTCTGGTTAATTCATTCAAGATGTCTTCTTTCAGCTAGTTATATTAATTATTTTATTTTAATTACAACTAATTTCGACAGAATTCATATCGATCGTTTTTTGTAAGCAATAACAAATAACGCAAAAATACAACT